CCTCAGTGATCGCCAGTACGGATTCCGATGAGGGCGATCTACTGGGGATTTTCTTGTGTATGCCTGTCACATATGCAGCGAGGCTATAGAAAAGCAAGGCAAAGCACTTGCAGTGTCTTTGGACATTTCTGAAGCCTTTGACACATAAGCCTTTTAAGTAGGCTTCCAAGTTATAGGTTTCCCACTGACCATTGCAATTGGATCTCGGATTTCTTGAGTGAACGTTCCATTCGAGTTGTCTTAGAAGGCTACTCTTCCGAACAACGTTCCGTACTGTCTGCAACACTCTTTCTGCTGCATAATTCCAGGTACCTATGTATATGCCGATGACAGCACAGTAGTAGATAGGACCAATGCAAGGGTCAGTGGAGAGGAAATCCAATCTTGTCGAGAGCTTATGGTTAGCCATTTAGATTTGACACTCAAGGCAGTCTCCCATTGGGGCGATGCCAATCTTGTCAAATTTAACGCTACCAAAACGCAGGCGTGTTTATTTTTCTCAAAACGGAGTTCCTTTGAGCTTACACCGACTTTTGTGATATATTAACACATAACACACACAACATATAACTGGCTTCAGCTGTACCAAGCACAAGGTATGTATGGAGCATAGATATAGAACTAAGATATGTAGTACTGCTGCCATCTTTGGGACGGCTCTGCTACTTACCAACTGGCCACCTTGGATTCAATTGACAATCGTGTCAAGAGGCTTGTAGGTGACTCGGAATTAGTAGAGGCGAAGCTGCAGAGTCTTGAACACCGCCGTAAAGTTACACGCTTATCGGTATTTTACAAGATATACCACGGATTGTGTGCTATGGAATTACACGATTTAATTCCATCTTCCCCTTTCCATCATCGGGGGACTAGGTGTAGGCTTGGATTCCGCTCCTATGTTGTGGATATTCCAAAGATTCGCACGAAGCGTTACGCTTCCTCATTTATATGGCGAACGGCTATGGAGTAGAATTTCCTGCCTGCAGACTTGTTCCCTGAACGTTATAACTTGGACTTTTTCAAGGCGAGAGTAATAGGCATTATTTAGGTATGTATGGTCATGCTCCATCGGCGACCTCATCGTCACTTTCCATCAGGTAATATGAAGGTCAAATGCACACTTACATTTGAATAAAAAAAAGATGAAATAGAGAAACTTTGAGAAGTTATTGAGGCTTTTGAAGAACGTTTCAAACCTAAGACGAACGAGATAATAAACACGTTTCTCTCTAACAAGAGACTTCAAGAAGATGGAGAACATTTTGAATAATAAGTGATAGTGACAGTGACAGTGATAGTGATAGTGATAGTGATAGTGATAGTGATAGTGATAGTGATAGTGATAGCGATAGTGATAGCGATAGTGACAGTGATAGTGTAACACATTTTTTTTCCGTAGATCCACTAAATACAAAACAAAAACCAAATTTATCTTCTCTCCTTGGTAATGTAAACATTCTTGTACAAAATGTCACTTTGACGTTATAGTCTAAAAATATTTAGTAAATTAGTTGAAACTTAAGTGTTGGTGTAATCTATTCTTTAAACCATTCACATATATATTACCTGTTGGTGAACGATTTGTCTATAAAATCAATAGCGTGAATGGGTACCCTTTAGTTTGACATATTTTTGAAAACACCAACCCTGGCTAATTTTTCTTGTATGGTAACGTACAATACTAGTGCTGCGTACCAATAAACTCGATTTTACTTCTGTAGTCGAGCTTCATGTAGATTATAGCTTTTCTTTAATATTTCCACGTCGAACGTCGTCAAATAGTTTGCCAAGTACTTTCTGTAAAGTAAGATACGTAAACCTGGAATCGCCATGTATTCTTGCGGGTTTAGGTGATAAGACTTGGGAGCTGTATCTAGATGATTCGATAGATTGTCTGTGGCGTTGTTCGCGGGTAACATCTCTTAGGAGGAATTCGGCGGAAGCTCATCTTTTCTGTTCGACACGTCGGTGCGCAAGGTGTTCCAGATTTCCTAGATCGTCTACGGTGATTTATTTCATTGGGGGCATGGTCCCCCAATGCCTTCTTAAATAAAATAAACTAGGAATAGCCAGATGCCGTAATTATGGGTCTCCGAACCCTGTACCAAAAGTAAAACCCGTGTCACCGGACCGCATGGTGAGTTGACCTCTGGATTTTTTCCTTCATTAGATGCTTCGTCATTTATATCAATGTACTGTAACAATCTGTATTGTTGCAGGGTTTTTCTTTTTTTTTCTTATTTGTACCTTTGGTACTTGTAATTTCGAATCTCGCCATCAACTGAATGGCTGAGACTAAGCTGCTGTAACTTTTGTTCGGATGTGCCCGACCACGTGTCATGAGCTCCACGGGTGGTCGGCACCTACGTATAACTTCGTTACTCCTGTAGCAACTACGCTGTCTTCGCAGCGGATCTGGTATGTAACTTAAATGTGCATCCGGTAAACTCCAGGTCAGTGACGTATAAGTGAAGTGTCCATGTGTCACTCATGTACTTTCATAAACTCTTAGTGCAGTGTATTAGCTCTAAGTATACTTAAAGGTAATCTTTTGTATGTAACAATTAAGGGCAGTAAACATATCCGTACCCTCCCTTTATAAACTCGGAGAAGTAAAAATACTAGTTCTCCATACTGCACCCTTAGATTTAATTGTAATATGTAACAAAAACAAATTTCAAATAAAGCTTCAGGTTATTTCTACTTGAAACTTGTTTTCGTTGTGTGTAAGGCGCCCTTCCTTCTCCTCGCTTATAAATTTTACACACAGCACCGGGTCAACCAGAACTCACCCCACAAACCAGTCTCATGCTCACTCAAACCGACTGGAGCTGACCATTACAATAGTAATAGTAATAATAATTTATTCGCAGTAAGTGTGGTGTACATAGTTGAATTAACATGTTTCTATTAACAAGTTCTCACACTTAGCTAGTAATAGCATGCAAATTTATCACAATTTTAGTGTACTTATCTTAATTATTATAAAATATTTTATTCAATTACACATTTAAAATAACAAGTCGCAATAATGTCAAGTTTAAATAAACATCTGCTTATTTTCCGTAGTCAAAATATTTTTGAATTGAATAAAAACAACAGTTGGACAACCATTTAAATAACTTTTTTCGGAACATTGTAATTGGCGTATATTTCATATCAATTGGTAGCGACTAGTACATAGGTAGACAGTTACGACGATACACTTCTCTTTTTACCTCTTGAAACCTCGTGTTAAATAAAGGTTCATGTCGTTTGAATAATAAATAATTTTGCTTGGCGAAGGTACTGGCACTCAAAATATAAATGCAAGGCACTGTTAATAAATTTAATTTCTTAAAAAGTGTATTGCACTAAGTTACAAGTGAAATGTTGCAAATCGATCTAACGCTGTGCTTTTGCGAGATAAGGACTCTGTCAATGTTACATGTGTTGCCCCAGATCAGAATACCGTAAGCTATCACTGAAACAACATACCCATGATAAGCCTGAAGAGCAACAGTTTGACTGACAGTTTTAGGTAGACACCAAAGAGCATACGAAAAGCGATTACTTATGTGTGAATTCCAAGAACATCCACTGACTAAAATGATGCCCAGAAATTTATCTCATCACTACTATTGATTTTTTGATTATTGTATACAATGTTTAAGTCTATACTCCTTAAGTTTACATTGCAGAAATTAACTGCCTCAGTTTTACTTAGATTAACATTCAGATTGTTTCTTCGTAACCAATCAATGACACCAGCAACAGTTTTGTTTAACTCCAGATTATGAAGTTCTCAGTTAACGTTGGGAACCAGTACGGAAAGGTCATCCCCATTGAGTATATATTTATGCTCGGTTACTGCATTCTACACAGAGTTACGAAAAAATGGCTCAAAATTTTAATTTTCAAAAACAAATATAAATTTTAAAAAACCTTCAAATATGACTCTGGGGCAGAGATTAATCTTCTGTCTGTAAGAGATCTTAATAGCATTGTCGATGAGGAGAATCCCGAAGTGGTCTCGAGACATAAATAATTTTGGAAGTGTAAGGGGGAATGCAAATCGACCCTGTAGAAAATAAACGGTTTCAATTTTTTTATAAAATGGTCACAGTCAGAATACTGAATTCATAATTGTTGACAAAAATGTTCAACCTAATTTTGGCTTAACTTTTTGAATAGAACTTAAACTTTTGAACACTTGTAATAATAATAATAGTATTAACACGATAAAAACGAATCGAAAGATGTTAAAAATGGATTGATAGAAAAAACACTGAACTTTTTCAGGGTGTGGGTGAATTTAAGAAACTATTAGAATTGCACATCCAGCCAGATGTGGACACAGTTCTGAGACCACCTCGTCGAATACCTAATTCATTGTTCACATGTTTGTAAGATAAAGTCACTGGAGGATAGACAAATTATCTCAAAGCTCGAACATCCTAAGACTTTATGAGTAAGTTAGTAATTATCGAGTTGTTAGGTTTTCGCGATATTTACACATAGAAAATGAAACTATTTTTCTTTGTTTTTTGAAACAAACCAACATATCAGGCCCTTTACGAGTCCAATGGTTGACAGAGTCAACCGTGACAATGGGTCCTGTAAAGAGCCCGAAACGTCGGCTTGTTTGAAAAATCCACCTACCCTCACCGCAACTTTCACTATCAACAAAAAAGGCACTATGTGAGGTTATAACTGCGAAACCCTTAGATGAGAGCACTAGAAGCAGTCTCATGGCAGCAAGAAATTCACAAAAGGAATAAAGATTCAGCTTACGGAAAATGTGGACCCTAGTATCATTGAAGGAATGGTCGTCGGTGTGGAACACGAGCAAATTGATATGATATATTCAGGAAGATACAAATGCATACCGATATCTTGAAACAAACCATCTAAGTGGCGGAAGAAAAGCCAAGAACGGCGTCTTTTTAAGGTATCCTGATTATGTGTCAGTAAAGGAAAGAAATAAAAATAAAAGACGTGTTTTATAAACTTTTATTTATTAAAGTGCGAATCTCTAGAGATATGATGGAGCTCCGTATATGTATGTTCCACGGGTCACATTGTTTGATATTATATTAATTCGCGCAGGAATTAGAGCTCGACTCCTTTGGGGGAGACAAACACGGTGAATTTGCCAAGATCACTGGGATCTTTTCCGTGTGAATTCTGAAGTTTGTCCTGTTGGAGCTTAGGGTTCCAGTAAAGACTCTTTGGTAGCTTGATGTAAGAACCCATAACTCCTGTTCTCCCTGAAGGTTGTTGATGACTTTGACCCCAGTGGTAAACTGTAGAGTTTCCCTGTTTTCGGCGACTAGGTGGAAATTCCTTTGATTGTACTCCGTGGCAGAATTCCAGCACCAAATACTTGGCGGGTCCATGAGTCCAAAATACATGATGCCGTTTAGATCCATTGCTTCAGGTCCGGATTGACTTGATCGCTCACCTGGGAATACCTGTAAAAAGTATTTAAGTAAACAATTCATATTTTAAGTACATAAAATTTTAATTTTCCTTTTCTTAAAACAAAGTTCGAAACGGCGAGTTTACAATAAGTGAAACTACATGTGTAATATCGAGAACGAAGTCATAGTCATAGTCAAGCTTTCCATCGCATCCTGAAAGCACGTGCTGAAAATTTGCATTCGGTAAGGCTATTTCACCAGATATAAATATGATTGCGAATAATTTGATAATAACAAAACTCCCGATCCTAAAACATATCACAAATAAATAGTTACAAATTTTTATTTGTCAAGGGGGAGAAAATCAAGTAGATTTTCTACGTCCATCTTGCCACACCCAGACTGATGAAAGGGCAGTAAAGTCAGTAACTGAATCTTCAGGAACATTGTGCACAAAAACAGTTCTGAGTCACGGAAAATCATGCCTAACTTTGATAACAAGAAGAAGTTTGAAACAGTTTAAAAAGAGAATTGTGTGAAGTGAGGTTGTATGTTTCTTTTTAAATTCTTTGGGTATATTTGAACTGCCTCGGTGGCCGAACGGTTACCATACCGGACTGCCACGCAGAGGTCCTGGGTTCGATTCCGAGGCAGGGAAAAATATGTGTATAGCCTACATTTATGTCACTCGTGAGTTTGGGTGTAATTTGTGGTTGTATATGTGTAGTCTGTGGCACCCGCAACCCAGGTTTTCCCTAGTGAGTAATTATTATTATTATTTCTTAAAAATATTAATTCAATTTGTTTTACTTTTCTGGCATTGTATTTTACTAGTTTAAAACTAAAATAACAAAAACAAAAAATACATAACAACATATTTTGTATATAAACCAATTTCCTAGATTTTTTAGATTTTCATAACTTTTAAAGATCAATCCAGAGGCAGGAAACATTCGGCAATGACGATAAAACTTAGTATTTAGTTCTATTTTACCATTTGGCAAGTTTTTAGTGCTATTATATATAGAATAAGAAAACAAAATAAAAATAGTCATATTATGGTCACCCACCCTAGTGTACAAGTGAATTTAAAGTGTACTTTTAAAGATATTTTTTACATTTGATTTTAAATGCGTGCACTGATTTCAGACTACGGAGCGACGGCGGCAGCAAGACATAGTCTTCATAGTCTTTCAAGATAATTGGGTTATTAGGTTTAGATGTAGGCCTTACTACTGCATAATGCCATTCAGTAAGCACAGGCCCACGATGCCAATACAGTGTTGTTTTTGTGTTAACATAAATTTACAACACTCACTACACTTGGCCACCATTATCGAATGCAAATACTTTATTTGAAAATTTTAGAGAGCGGGCTCACTAACGAGTGCGGTAACTTCCCGTAAGGGGATCTCTACACTTACTAGTGTTGGAACAAAAGAGGAATGGCAAAAGCTGACCTAATCATTATAAAATCAACGAAAAGCCGTTCATAGATTTTGCTAGTATATTTTACGTTTTAGTTTATGCATAGTTATCAATATATTTTTGTATATTTTTAGCAGTCAGGAATAAAGAATGTGAAAACAATGTATTTTAGAATAAATGCAAGCACAAGCACAGGCAATTGATTCAATTCGACCATAGATTAGGTAACATTCTTGTACGTGCGTTTCATTTTAAGAATGTTTATCTACCCAAAATATTGGTTATTTTATAGTACACACATAAAACATTGACGAAACACGAAATACCTAATCAAATAATCAATTAATAAGTAATAACATAAAGTAAATATGATAAAATATGACAAAAATGTGACAAAAATGTGGCAAAAATGTGACAAAATGTGTAGACAATTAAATGACAGATAAGAAGTTAGCAAAGGAACGTTTTGACATGTAACCTCTTGCCAATGTCAATGTCACATTGAAATTGAGAACAGTGTGATCATTTGTGGCAGATTTCTGCTATTTGGGTAGATTTAATTTTTATTCATTTTCACTGCGGCAGAACGTATTAACGTTGTAATAAATGTGGCAGAGTTTGGCAGATTTGGGAATATTCAGCAAGATTTTTATTGTTTTTGGGACCAAACTGAAAACTTGTTGTTTTCTGCTACTACGAACAAACATCTAAAGCGGAATACAGGACAATGTAACAAACAACCTGCATCAACTTTATAACCCCATCTTCTACAGGCTGTATTCAATTAGCTTTTTTGGTGCTTTGATAATGAATCACAAATAATCTCTTTAATGCACGTCGTCAAAAATGTCATCAAACGCGGTAATAAATGTGTTTGTCGTTTTGTGTTAGACTTTGTATTAATTAAATTGTGTCTATTATCGATATAAAAGTTATTTAAAGCAGTAACTCACTACACTATTTGCACACTCGTAGTATTATATCACCAATGGCACTTCAACAGTCTTTTCTTGATGTTTTTATATGATATCAGTACCATCTACTATTTTTAGTTTGTAAAAAACAAACAAAACTTAGTGAGTACGTGGCCACATAGACGTCCGTGACGTTACTTCCTTAATTTATTTGGAAACTGGTGTTTCCTTTAGATATGTTCAACTTACACTGATAAGTTTAGGGTCAACGCTAGGATTTCCCACGTAACTATCATTCTTGAGTACAGATGTCCGGACGATGTTTTCTGTGGTGGAAGAAAGAGCGTGGAAGTAGAGCAACCGATCACGATTACGTCCCCGAGGAGTCAACGCCATGCCCAATATTCCGTCCATTAGATCGAAACTCTCACCTGCAAGTAAATTTTAACACTATTAGACTTTGTAAAACTAAGCTTAACTAGAATGACTGGTCAGCAAAACTAAGACGACGTAATTTTGTAGAATAGTCCAACAAAATATATTTTTTTAAACTCAAAAGTAAATAACTATTTTACATATTTAAATAAGTCCACAATAGTTCACTAAGATATACTATCATGTTTATTTTCACAACTTAACGCAATGAAGTTACGTCTGACCGAAAAAAGAGTTTGTGGTGGGATACATCGAAAATATATAGTCGATCAACTCATCCAGTCGCGAAATAGTTTGGCGGTAACTTTTTAATTGTGTATCAATAAAACATGCAATGTGTCACAATGGACATCAGTATTATTATTATTACGACTATTTGCCATTATTCACGTGGCGGAACCTATTAATTTATGAGTTATATTAGAATATGATTATAACTATTAATACAAAGATCGAACACTCAGAATAATTCCTTAGATCCGGTCGGATTTGAACCGACGTCTTCTAGCATACCGCGGCTTATCTTTGTATTTGGATTTTCAACGACTTTTTGGCCGTAGCGCCATCTACGAGAATTCTATGATATTTCGTCACCCAGTTAGATACCTTTACAGCTATCAGCCCCGGCTAGAAATGTCGCAATTTGCACACGTGCATTACTATCTGATTATTCAGTACCTTTACCATGAGCTTACTGTGACAGTTGTTGCTAGCGGTTGCTTAAAGAATTTGACAAAATATGGCAAATTGTACAGCGCCCTCTAGTAGTCCCAAGAAAAAATAACATTTTACAAATAAATATTTTGTTCGCATTCTCCACATGGTGGACCGGTTTGGGATACACGCAACTTAAATCGCACCACCAGCTAGCGACGAATGTGACTATAAACTCATGGCAAGGGTAGGTACTGTTCGTGTGCTGATCGCGCGCCATCTACCCTCCCGAAATATCGGGAAAATAAAAAGAAGTCATACCATGGTAAGAAACCTGATACTAGTGACAATCATTTAGTGAATAACCACGAAAGTCTTAAAATCTATATAAAGATGCCTGTATTACAATTAGGTTAAACTTAGTTTTTATATTTCCTTTTATTGTCTCGGGTCTGGGTGTTGTATAGTTCACAACAAACTATTGCGAGCCAATGATGTAGCGGAATTTTACCGTCAACGGTGAAGTTCCCTCGTGAGGGGAACGGATAGAAGAGGCGATGAGTGAGGCGCCATGAGCGATTTTTCGCCACGTCGACCACTACCAGCGCGGGGCCAGTCACGTCTGCTATGTACACGTATGCATCACCGCAATCGCCTGGTTTTACATCCGTCACCTGAATTAATTGTAATTAACACTGTCATTACAAAGAGTTAAAACTGAAGTTAAACTTAAGACAAATTACTGCTCAATGGTTATAAAGGTAGATAAAACAATAAATAAAGTTTATTCTTCCTGAAGTAACAAGTACCTACATAAAAAGAAAACTACATCGAAAACGGTTTACTTAGTTCTTTCTAAGGACCAATAACTCAAGATGACTGCTAATAGCGATAGAAGACAGCGTAGTTGGGTATTTAGTACTTATTACCCAATAAACAATTTGGCGATAAAACAAGCTCTATAACCGTTGATTAGTTCCATTAAACACCTATAGCTGTAGTACGTCCTAAAATTTAGCAATAGAGCACTCTATAACTCTCTTATAGTCCGAATTAGGCGCCTACGTTAGCACTTAGAAGCTCTTTAGTAGGTAGAAATAATCCCAACAGTTGTAAACAAGTGGTATAATAGTGCTACAGCAGCGACTCTTATTACCACAGGAGAAAGTAAAGGTTTATAATAGTTGTATTTTTGCCGAAGGTTCAATGAAACCTGTAAGATGTTTTCTTATATCGCTTAAAACATTATAAATACGCTGAAGTAGTGACAAAAACTGTTTGCGTGATATTGTGTTCTTTTATTCAATTTTATAGAAATATGAATTATAGAATTAGAGAATTATAAATTAGAGAATTATATCATAATACGCGCATACTGTGTCTTAATATCGTGATCGTAATGGCAACGGATAATAAATGAAATACTAAGTATTTAATTTCTAACCACCATTATTATTAAGTAGATAAGTGAAATACTGTTGCGGTTGTAAGTTTTTCGTAAGAGTTCGGTTGTCGCGAGCGATACGAGAGAACGCGTACGCATGATCATTTAGCATATTATCTACGTTAGAATAACAAAAGTATAAAAATGGCGAAGTGTAATGGTTGTGCTATAAGATTGTGTTGAAAAAGTCACCGGGATTGCAGTGCAACAAGTGTAGTAAATGGTTTCATGCCTCATGTGCGGTAATTTCGTCAGAACGGCTTACCACTCTGGTAGGAACGGATTCTAATGATTGGAAGTGCCGTACGTGCAAAGGAACGGCTAAAGCAAAGCGATTGTCCGCCATTTTACCTGATGCGGATGATGGCGAACAATCTGACGGTGAAAGTCTACCAATTAGGCAAGAATCAAGTAAAAAACAAGATTTACTCATTGAAATACGACGTGAAATTAGAGAGATCATTAGGGCCGAGCTACAACGATCACACAAGTTTTATTCCGACCAAATTGATGATTTTACGTTAAAAAGCTCTAAGTATGAAGACAGGGTAAAAAGTCTTCAACCGGTTTAATGACCTAAACAACAAATATAAATACTTGAGTTTGAGGTGTGAAACATCTGAGCTAAAACTAAATAACCTAGAACAACATCTCTGAAATGTCGAGATATGTGGTATACAAAAAACGGAACATGAAAACCTTCAAGATGTTGTGGCGGAGATTGCTAATAAAATTCATCAAAAACTAACGGATATTATCAAGAACCGAAAAGAAAGCCGGTCGGCTCCTGCGCAGAGAAGGAACCAATCTACGTTGGTTGTTACTCTAAGAGAAGGTATGCGTGACGTTTGGATAGATGCAGCGAAATCCACACAATCGTCCGCATTTAACCTTGACTTGACCTTGGAGTGAATGGTGACTCAAAAATATGTATACGGGAAGCGCTTAAGCCAGCTACGGCTTTTCTGTTGTGGAAGACTGAAACTGTACTAAAAGAGAAAAATATTGTGAACGAATTTCACGTTGTGGTGAAAAAGAGGAAATATCCTCGTCAAACAGGGAGAAAAAGATAAAATATACGTCATCAAGTCAACAAAGAACATTGAAAAGTGGGCCTCAGAAATGGTAAAGTGATCACAGTATGTCTTATGCTGAGGTTTTTCTAGGTTTTTGGTTGTATTTTCTTTTTTAAGTTGCAACTTTATATTGTATAAAAATACCTATTTAAACTTTGTTTATCACTCTGGATATTACGAATAAAATAATAGAATCTACTCATGAGGATTGGAATAGTTTGATAAATTATGTTCATAAATTATGGTCAAGTAGTAATAATATTATGATATTATATATGTTAACATTAGATCACTAATTTTAAATTTTTCTCAACTAGAGTATATAATTTCAAGTAACAATGCAAAAATTTATATTGTGGCAATAACTGAAGCAAATATTTCCAATAGCTGTTCACAATTATTCCATCTAGATGGTTACACTGTGTACACAAATCTCAGAAACAACAAAAAGCGCGTTTGGAAGCGCGTTTGTGTGCGCAGACCCATTGTCATCATGTCCTACGAACCGATTATTTAATAGGCTTGATAATGACCTTGTAAGAAAAAAACTAAACTCGTTAGACTGGAGTGATGCGTTTAAACACTCTCAACCAGAAGACATTGTTCAATGCATATCAAATAACTTTGAATCTGTATATACTAAACGTAGGGTTAAAGTTTTGATTATCAATAAACAAAAAATGAATTTATGTAAATGGACAAACAATAAAATAAAGTATATGTGCAAAAAGCGGGACGAGTTATTTTTGATATTTATAAAAAACAAATACAACAAAACTTTAAAGATGCTAAGAAAGTTTGGAAGATCGTTAATTACTTGTGTGGCAAAACCTCTAAATCAATTGATGACATATTTTTAAAGTATTTTAAAGTATCACCCTCTACATTGGCCGAAAGCTTTGCAAATGAGTTTCAACGAAATGTCAAAAATTGCTTGAATCCGTGCACTGTATCTCTACTGAAGCCCTCAATCTATGAGATTTGCCCTAATATGACAATGCGTATGAAATTTGCTACAAATTATGACATATTTAAAATAATTAAACAATTAAATCAAAGTAAAAGTCCGGGCATTGATGGTATTCGTGTGTCGGATATTAAAAACATAGCTTATAAAAAAACATAGCAATAAAAGGTGCATTGCCACATCATCCTACTCAGATAAATTAAAAATAGGAATTATCCGCCCAATATATAAAACGGGTTGCCACCAAGATTACAATAATTATAGACCAATAACCATAGTCTCGTGTATTGACGAAGATCATGGAGAGGTACTTTGCAAACGAAATTAACAAATATCTATATAAATATAAGATAATCAATGAAAATCGGTTTGGATTCCAAAAAAAACCATAGTACCACACAGCTACTGTCAATTTACTAATGAGATTTGCAATCATTTGGACAAAAAATGTCATGTGATTGCAATTTTAATTAACTTTATAAAGGCATTTGATGTTTTAAGGTATAATACATTATTTAATAAACTAAGTCAGAATGGTATACAGGTCCCCCTGTTACAATGGTTTAAAAATTACCATAATAACAGGTGCACACTTGGTTAAAATAGGTGAAGAGTATATACAAAAAAAAAACGGAGGAGGGTACGGCCCAAGGTTCCATTCTAGGGCCTACTGAATATCTTCTTTATGTTAATGATATGTGTAAATTAATCAGAGAAGGCTCAGTGTACCAATTTGAGGACGATACCTGCATCGTCTCGGCTAACACAGATCTAAATGCGGCTGAACGCCAAGCTCAATATATTTTTAATTTATTGTGTAAGTGGGTACACGATGTCGGACTTGTTATTAATGCACAAAAGACTAAAGCCATTCATATATTTTCTTCCCACAATAACATCCCGTACCTACCATCTATCGTCGCCTATAAACATTTATGCCTTCATACTGAAGACACACAATGTAAATGTCCTAATGTCAAACACGTCTGATTCTTCCCTCCGATTATCAGCGTAGTCTATGCAAATTATTGAAACTCCCAAAAAATCAAGGTTATAAATTTGGGGAGAGCAAACGTCATATTTCCCACATGTAATAATATTTATTCATTCAACTTCGGTGGCTCAACGGTTTACTCCGTGACCGTTGAATGAGGAGATCCCGAGTTCGATTCCCTGTATGACCGGTTTGCAAAATATAATAATAATAATAATAACGCACACACTCAACATAGCATCTTAGTTATTTACGAGGTTTGGGTAAAAAGAGTGTCTCGTACGACACCCGTCTCAAGTTCTTCAAAACATCTCCTTTATCTTTGCGACGTGAAATGCTTGATCTAGTATTCTTATATAAACTAATTAACAATAAAATTAATAGTCCGCAACTTCTCTCTAAAATACAGTTTAAAATACCCTCTCGTCTACCAAGGTATCACGTAAATCTTTTTCACCCCCCATTGCGCAAAAGTATCCTCGGTTCGAATTCTCCGTTTACTCGATTTGCCAGGCTCGTCAATCCTCTACCTCTTGAAATGGATATCTTCGCAGTCTCATTGCCTCGCTTCAGGAAGTCAATATTGCAGTTTTTGGCATATAAGTGAATATTATTTGTAATGTATATTATATTTATTTTATAATTTAATTTGTTAATACAGTAAACATATGTAATATAAGCACAGTAAAAAAATAATAGTAAATTATATTAATAATAATTGTCTTAACTTTCATACTCTCATCATGGCATGTTCACCTGTAATTGGTTGAGCATTTTAACTGTAGCATCCTGTCGAATGTGTGTAAAATATTGTTGTAACCGAATGTATTAAGCGTTGGTGAATTTAAATAAATAAATAAATAAATAGCCCGGACTAGGGAAACCCTGTGTCGCGGGTGCCATGGACACACATATAGACAACCACAAATTACACCCAAACTCACGAGAGAAATAAACGTAGACCATACAAATATTTCTCCCGGCCCGAGAATCGAACCTGGGTCCTCTGCGTGGCGGTCCGGCATGGAACCTTTCGGCCACCGAGGCAGTTAAAATGACCTTGACCACTAAATTCATTGGTCTGGGCGTTCTGTGTAAGCTAGAAAGAATTCTGTTGCCATGGCATCCTTATTACAAGTAATTCCTAGTTAACTTCAGACAATTGGTGTGGCTGTTTGATACATTAATATTATTATTTAGTAAAACGCTCAAACGCCACTGGTTTAGTATAAGTATACCTCACACGCACACACTCAACATAGCCCCGCTAGCCGACACTAGGAAAACCCTGTGTCGCGGGTGCCATGGACACACATAGACAACCACAAATTATACCCAAATTCACGAGAGAAATAAACGTAGGCCATACAAATATTACTCCCGGTCCGGGAATCGAACCTGGGACAGTTTTTGGTTAACAGGAACGAGCTACTGATTGTGACCAGTCCAGACCATCTTGACGAGTGTGCTTAGAGGTCGGCCATATGGAGGGCTTGCGTTACTTTGGAGAAAAAGTGTTTTTAACTGTGTGTCAGTTGGCCCGGGCGATAACCCCCCTATAGCGGCTATTAAAGTGATGCTTAGTGATAAACCTGTGCTAATTATTACAGTTTACATGCCGTTTGAAACTAAAAATAACGAAATTTAACGGAATATTCAAACTGCTTAGATTGTTTGAATGCTATAGTGGCGGGCATTGTATCTATCTGTGATAATATTAGGGACTTTAATGCTAACATAGGCACGGCTTTTTATAATGAACTAATGGCATTTTATTCAGAGTCAGAGTGGATTTGTGCGGATTTAAGTATGCTTGGGGCTAATTCTGCCACTTATACCTATACTATATACATATATTAGTAATATGGACGGTGACAAAAGGTGACTGGACCATTGTCTAGTTACCAGCACGGCCAGCACTATGATAACTAAATGTTATGTCAATAAAGATGTGCAATGGTCAGATCATTATCCATTATTTGTGCATTGCAATTTCAATATAGTTAAAAGTAAGTGTAACTTTCAGCACAGACTGTCAAATCGGATACTGTGGGGCGATAGAACACCTGTACAGGTAGAATTGTACACAAAATTATGTAATGATAGATTAAAATACGTTGATTTACCTGTAGCACTACAAAAATGTTGTGGTGATTTTTGTAGTAACCATCAACACAAAAACTTAATTAATGAGTTAAATAATCAATTTGTCTCAATATTAAGTTTAGCAGCTAGCTCAGCGTACTGTGTGAAGAGACGTCGTCGTGGTAAATATGTTGCAGGGTGGAATGACCACGTGTCCACCGCTCATGGTGAGGCCAAGGCCAAGTTTGTGAAGTGGGAGTGGTACCAGGGACCAGTCTATGACGATATGGTTCAACGTATTTTTAAAGGCAGGCTTAAGTGGTGTCAAAATAACAAAGATCAATTTAAAATGGATAAACTTGCTTCACATCACTTTAAGTCTGATTTTTGTAATTTCTGGAAGTCCACCAACAAATTAAGCAGGCCTAATGGCCTCCCCGTGAGAGTTGACGATGTGACTGATGAGCAGGGCATTGCAAATCTTTTCAGACAGCATTTTACTCTTAAGTCGCCTCTGGGTCTCTTTCGATTCGTGATCGGCGCGGAGTCCTGTCGTGGACCATCGGTCCAAGCAAGTGACATCCATGTTGTTTCACTTTCAATAAAGAAAAGAAAATCACTGGGACACGACGATCTCAGCGTTGAGCACTTAAGATATACAGACTCCCATGTACCCAGGATACTTGCATTGCTGTTTAATTTGTGTTTAGGACATTCATATTTGCCATTCGATTTAATGAGAGCGATTGTGATGCCAATAGCTAAGAACAGGACGAGTGACGTGTCGGACAGGTCTAACTATAGGCCAATCTCTCTTGCTACTATAGTGGCCAAGATATTTGACAGTGTGCTCAATTCACACTTAGAAAAACATTTGCAACTGCACGAATCGCAGTTTGGTTTTCAGACAGGCTTATCCACTGAAAGTGCTATTGTGACATTGAAGCATGCTGTCGGGTAAAAAGACGTCAGTATACGCGTGTTTCTTGAACCTGTCCAGTGCCTTTGATTTGGTCTCCTACGACATCCTATGGGATAAATTCAGTGCCACGGGCATGCCTGTGGAGTTAACGAACGTTTCAGGTATTGGTACGGGAGTCAAACGAATATTGCAAGGTGGGCGAACAAATTTTCGGAGCCGTATAACTTGGAATGCGGGATTAGGCAGGGTGGATTAACATCTCCTACATTATTCAATTTGTACGTCAATGCACTGATTGGTGAACTCAGCAGCACGCATGTGGGCTGGTTTGTTGACGGAATTTGTTTAAAAAACATTAGCTATGCTGATGACATGGTGCTGCTGGCGCTATCAATCAGTGCATTGAGAAAACTAATTGGAGTATGCGATTCATATGCAACATCCCATGGCTTGTTATATAATGTTAAAAAGTCGGAGTTTATGATGTTTGGAGCCGCCGGTAGGAAGAGTCCTACGTGTGCCCTTCCTGTACTACTTAATAGTTCTCCATTAAAAAGGGTTAGACACTTTAAATACTTGGGACACTATGTTACCGACGATCTTAAGGATGATCTGGATATACAGCGCGAACAGAGAGCACTATCGGTGAGAGCAAACATGCTTGCCCGCAGGTTCGCTGCAGTTAAGATAACATTGTTTAGAGCTTACTGCACATCAATGTACGCTCGCGCTCTGTGGAAGAGTTACTCAGTGCTCTCGGAATGCTCTGTGCATGCAATACAACTACGCCTTCAGGACGCTGTTGGGGCTGTCACGTTTCTGTAGTGCGTCAGCCATGTTCACTGACGTGCGCGTGGATAGTTTCACGGCTGTTGTACGTAAAAAGTCGGCGTCGCTACTGAAGAGAATACGTGACAGCCCCAATAACCTCCTGAAGACAGTTGCTGACAGGAATGAGTGCCCAATTATGCGGAACTTAATAAATAATACAAAGTCACGGGTAAAATATAAGTACTAATATAGCATTAATAAATAAATATAATACTAATATAGTATTAAGTCTGTACCTACTAACATTTGATTGGATCTCTGTTGTGTCAATAAATAAATTTTATTATTATTATTATTATATCAACTGGCCACTTTGGATTCAATTGACAATCGTGTCAAGAGGCTTATAGGTGACTCGGAATTAGTGGAGGCGAAGCTGCTGAGCCTTGAACACCGCAAAGTTGCCTGCTGATCGGTATTTTACAGGGTTATATCATGTACTGTGTGCGATGGAATTACACGATTTAATTTCACCTTCCCTTGGGTTCCACCCATGTTGTGGATATTCCAAAGATTCGCACGAAGCGTTACCGTTCCACACTTATATGGCGTACGGTTATGGAGTGGAATTCCCTGCCTGCAGACTTGTTCCCTGAACGTTATAACTTGGGCCTTTTCAAGGCGAGAGTGAATAGGCATTATTTAGATATGCATGCTCCATCGTCAACCTCATCGTTACTTTCCATCAGGTGAGATGGATGTCAAATGCGCACTTATATGTTATAAAAAAAAAGTTTGTTGATAGTACCAATAAGAAACTTGCGTGTGTCTAATGGTTTATGGAACCAAAAGGGTCTTGCTTAGTGTTTATGCCAAGTGGGGAATGCGGTGCATAAAAGCCTCCCCGCACGACGTATCGTTTATTTCCAATACATTCTGGCGATACTGATAAAATTCGAAGAGTATCTTAGGGTGCGTACAGCTCTGACGAATGCGCCGCAAATGCGTCTGTTTGCGAAAGGGTCGCGAGGTGCGCACATGCATTACGTAGTGCGATCTGTTCACGTACCATTCGCGCGCCACATACATTAACGTGTATTTAACTACACCACGTTTGCGGTGCATTCGTACAGATCTGTACGCATCCTTACGCCGATTAGCAAATTATTTCACGACGAACCCAACATTACAGCGTACGCCATCGATACGATGAGAAGAATGGAATGCTAACTTACTACAGTATAAAACGATGACTGTGCAGTATAATCAGTCTGGTTGAGCCGGTACCGGTAGATGAGGCTGTCATCGTTGAGGTTGAAAGCCAACAGCTGTGGAGGACAGTATTGCTTGCTGCCGATCTTGCCTGTGTCCAACATCCAGAGCCTATTGCATTCGTCTATCTGAAATTGTATACATTTGAAGTTTATTATTGATTTTTATTGAATATTATAGTTATAATCATTTTATTTTTGTGAAATTGCCCCACTAGTTTATTATAATTATTAATACAAAGATTGGCGATACGATAACAAAAGCAGAGAGAGTTAGGCAAATTTGTAAGGTCTGCCAACTCATTCTGTAGCTCGGCTGATAAAGCGGTGGCCCTATATTACGGACACGCGCTTGTAATCTTTTCAATCAAAACAAGGAAAAATACTGACATGAAGAGGTTTTGCCTCCTTTGCCTAGGTACCCAAAACAATGGCGGAAATTTATAAGAAAAAATTACGAAAATATTTATTTATTTTGATATCGCTATAACTTCGTTATGATAAAAGTTTGGGGAATTTATTTTATTAAAGCCGGATTCAGGATATCAGGATTCGTTAAGATGCACACGGCACTGTGATATCTCAAAATATTTTGTCTTATTTCTCAGAAACTAACCAGCAGATCGAGCTGGAGTTTCCTTTACTTCAGAGTACTATTAAGGTACAAATTTTTGGAATAAGAAGTTTTAATAGTTATTAAATAAATACCCGCCATATTGACAGTCAATACGGCGGGTATACCTTTGATATTGCTATAACTTCGTTCTGATGGAGGTACAATTTTTTTAAACAGGGGTACTAAATAGTACGAATTAGGTACATTTTTTTGATACCAAATTTGTCAGGATCCTTTAAGATATACCCGCCATTCAGACTCTCACGAATTCAGGATGTTGTTTAACAAACTTACACATTCCGAGAATATAAATTTGCAAGAATATATATAGAAAGCAAAGTCAACATTTTAAATTATTTGAAGTATGGTCTGCAGCGTTCACACTCTTTCCCCGAAACATAAGTGGGAATGAGTGTTAGCATAATAAGCGGCTATTGCAGTTGTCAAGTCAGTTGTTTCGTTTATATCCGTCAGTGAAAGAAGCTAGATAACTTTTTCTTAATTTTTTGTACGTGACATTTTCAGTTCACATGTGTGGCGTAAGAAAGCCGAGCCATGGGCTGTAGGTGGAATGTATTTAAGGCGATATCGTAATTAATTCCTTTGCCTGTGTTACTCTAGCTAAAACCATATTGAAGTACTCACGCGTTCCTTCGTTCACTACGACGGCAACGCTGGCGGGTATTTGGGCAGGAAGATGGCACAGTCCTATACGTCTATATTATAACGTGATCAGAAACAGAAATAGAAGAGATAAACGGAAATAAATAATAAATGCCATATCAAGCAAAAATTCGTTTTTTGAAAGAAAACACTCACGTCCGAGAAGTACTTTTATTAATATTTTATTCACAAATTTAGAAAAACGTATTTTATTTTTTAACCGACTTCAAAAAAGGAGGAGGTTTTCAATCCGACTGTAGGTTTTTCTTTTTTATATAAGTTACGCGACAACACGCGGCATTGGTGAACCGATATGGATGATTCTTTTTTTGTTGGAAAGAGGGCACCTCAATAGTGATCCCATTTAATTTTGAAGAAAATATTCCACCTCTAAAGCTTAAAGCGCCTAAATTTTATAAGGAGCATTTATTTTAATGGTTGATTTTGCTATGCTCCAAATGAAGACGTTTTTCTCTCGATATACTTTAAGCAGTGAGCACCGATTTTTATTATCACCCGTGTTTAGTCTCGTATAGTGGCGAACTAGAGGATGAATCAAGTTTTACGCACTTCCCGCTAACCGATTTCAATAAAACTTGGCATATCGATGTAATTCCACGAACTTTTGAGTTTTTTTAGTACCCTGTACTGAGATTATTATTGCACCTATTCCACATTTTCAATCTGATAGAAGTCATAGTATTTATGTTTTACCTAAGTTTACGTACACGTCAGTATTCATAAAAGATGTTTCATTACATCTGACAGTTTTGATACAGCGACACTGACTGCCAGCGTCAACACCGACCCACCCGACCCGACGCAACGCTACCAGTTTCGTTTTAGTCAGTGCGCGGGGCATTCGATGTCATTATAGATTGAATAGCACAGGCAGATTACCGTACACCCCGCACCGAAAGCAGCTTGGAGCATTCCCATTTAAGGAGAAAGGAAACAAAAGAATAAGTTATTATTCTTAGCCTAGAACACCATAAAACCGCTTATGGTGGGAATAAAAATATAAATATAAATCATGACAAGAAACAAAAAGCCGATACGTTCAAGTAAGACGACAAAGGTTATTTTCAAAAAGTCCAAAAACGTGTTTCTGTAGCTTGTGGTGTTTCAATTGAAACAGTAAAGAATATTTTAAACGAGTAATCGGAAAAATATTCATTTTTAGTTATATGAAAGAAGCACACTTTATTTTGTTTGTTAACTTGCTTATTGGCATGGAGTAAATGTTATTTAAAAATTAAAAAGATGATGTTAATTAATTAAAAAGAGCGAAATAGTTTTACAGCGCTATATAGTGCATATGTAAAAGAAAACAACAATAAAGTACAACGTTCAAAATAAAAATTGTTATAGGTTTTAAACGTAATAGTTAATGGACATGGAAATTAAATAGTATGCATTCGGAAATCCGATGATTGCTAGAGGACATTGAGAAAATAGAAGCACTGTATGATCTGCTGTGAGAACATAAACTTATTAGGGTTATCGCTAGCCAGTAGAGCACATAAAGGACGCGAATTCATTATAGCCTCTGTTTTACAGAAGAGTGTAGTAAGCGCTTCGAACGTCAGAGCCTTCTCGGCGACAGAGCGCACAAGATGATGCTTGGTTGTGCGAACGCAACTTTCCCACAAACCGTCAATGTGTGGTGCACTAGGAGGGTTAAATGTCCAGTTTACCAGCCGTTGAGCACAGCCATTAAAAATGTCATTCTGATTGCGCTTATCAGACATAAATTTCTGTACATCAACAAGATGTTTCCTGACCGCAATAAAATTTGTCCCACGATCTGAACAAAAGCAGGCTGGGAGACCGCGGCGTGTCACGAATTTATCCAGTGTGGCCAAGAAACAGTCGGCGGATAAGTAAGTTAGTGCTCCCCGATGAACGGCCTTTGTGGAAAATATACGAAAACTGCTAAGTAAGCTTTCTCTTTGGCATTTTGACGTAAACCTAATGGCATGGAATTATAACTGAATTTTTTTGGTCACTTTCATTTTCGAATTCAAATTATAAAATAATATTAAAACAAAAATGTTAAAAAACCTGATTTACAGTAATTTTTCAAAAAAAAAATTGACAGAAACGTGCTTGATCGCTGGACATTTTTGATGTATGTTATAAATATAATAAGTGTGATTCTAATATAGTAGATAATATTATTGTGGTAATATCATTATAATTCTTGATATGAAAAAATAATATTTCATTTTAATTCATTTCCTCACCAAACCAATCACTAAAGTTAGAACCCCTAAAATAGGAACTCTTCAACAGTGTACATCGGCTTCCTTGTGTTTGGGCTCAAATGATTTGTTTTGACGAGGACTTCAATGTGCGTTTCAGTTACCGTTGAGGAGACCACGTCAATCAACACAGCGAAAGCGGACAAGCAAGCTTTTGAGGTCGGTTTTTTTTTATAAAAAATGTTTGTATTATTTGTGTTTTACTTGATCGAGGTCACTTACCATAGTCCTAAATACTGAAGTTATTCCTTCGCAGTTCTGGCCTTGATTTTCGTGCCAGGAGTAGTTAGGGTATCCAGAGATTTTGCCCATCTCGTCCACAGTACCCAGAGTCACGGGACGACCTTCTTGAATGCGAGGTGTAGTTATGAATACTCGTGGCGATAGAGTGCCTGAAATTGGATCCAGCGTTTAGTCGACAAAGCAAGGAATAATACACCAATTTAAGTTACAAACTTTAAACTGGCTGTTCTTGATAGTCGTGTTCAAAAACTCACAAATTCATTTAAGGGGCAATGGTTACGCTTCTACAATAAGATTTAGGTTGATATTCAAAATTTGCCATTAGGTTTAGCTATATTGTGAAACAAAAACTTTTAATTTTACAAGTAAATATTTTATTCAATGTCTGGATGTTTCACCGTCATGACATTCAATTATTTTTGTGAAATTACTCCACTGGTTTTGTTATAATAATAATACAAAGATCGGACATCCAAACAAAATTCCTTCGATGCGGCCGGATACGAACCAGCGTCTTCCAGCAAACCGCTATGCCAGGGATCCGTCACGCCACGCTGGTGGCCTTCCGGGGGACCACCTTCCAGGAGGCGGCCAGAAGAGCCTCAGTAGCGGCGGACATGGTGGTCCGCCGAATACAACTGCTGGGGCTCGAGGTCGCCGTGCCGAAGATGGATGTGGCCGTCTTCGGCGGGAGGGGTAGAGGTTGGGCGGTGCCGGCAGGCGCCCACATCTCCATCGCGGGAGTATCGGTCCCGGTCAAGTTCAAGATGAAATATCTGGGACTTGTCCTGGACCGCCGATGGAACTTCGGGGAGCATTTCCGGCAACTGGCTCCCCGAATAGTGGGCGCCGCATCGGCGTTGGGCAGGCTCCTGCCCAACCTCGGGAGGCCGGAATCCCATGCAGAAGGCTATACGCCGGGGTGACCCGGAGTATGGCCTTATACGGGGCTCCCATTTGGAGTGGGGCCTTATCAGCGGCGATGAAGTCGCTGCTGAGGAGGCCCCAGAGGGTGGTTGCCCTGCGAATGTGCAGGGCGTACATGACGGTGGCCTGCGCTGCCGCATGCGTCCTCGCCGGTACTCCGCCGTGGGACCTCGAAGCCGAGGTCCTGGCAGAGGTCCGCACCTACCGGCGGGGAATGAGGGACCGAGGCGAGCGACCCGCTCCCCAAGAGGTGGAGTGGGAGCGCCGCCTCGCGGCGCAGCGCATGCGGGACCGGGGGAAAGAGGGCTTGGCGGATCCCCCCTATGACGCTCGTACCATAAAGGCGATCCGCCCTGTCCTCGTAGAGTGGGTAAACCGGTCCCACGGGCCACTGTCGTACCACCTTGTGCAGGTGCTGACCGAGCACAGTTGCTTCGGTCACTACCTGCACAAGGTGGCGAGGAGGGATCCGTCCCCGTCGTGCCACGAGTGCGGCGCTGTGGATGACACGGCGCAGCACACCCTAGAGGTGTGTAGCCGGTGGGATGAGCAGCGCCGCACTATGACGGGGACTGTAGCGCAGGACCTCTCGCTGCCGAGCGTGAATCGTCATTGATCCTCTCTACAGCTGACTAAATTTCGTTCGGTCGACAGGAAAGATAAAGCTGAACTTCGTCAGCGTATATATATATTTTACAATGTTTAACGCAATGTATGATGTCAGCACTATAGAGAACATACAATAAAGGCACAAGGATGGATCTTTGTGGTACTCCAGGTGTAACAGCAGAAGTAGAAGAAAATGCTACAGAGCCATTAGATTTGGGTAATAAGTAGTACAATTTGTTGTCGGTCATGTCGATAGATAAACAAATTAAATTAGAATTCAATTTGTTTATAATCCACTTTTTCCTTCCTCGTCGACACGGATTAATAATTCCCACTTCAATTGTGTTGGACAATCGCAAAATAATTGCTCATTATTTTGCGATTGTCCGAAACAAATGAAGTATTACGTATTACTCTGAGTGTAGTGTTCAATATTATTAAGATTTGTTTTTTGACACAATTATAACTATACTTTTGGATACAACCTTGCATTTTTATTTTAACCCTTTCATGGACAGTAACAGTGTTTACCGTAAAATTAAATATTAGAATATGATACTACTGGGTATCCCGTTTCGCTGTATAGATCTCAAACAATCAACTCCGTGCTTTACAGTGCAATTTCCAAGCGCTTTCTGTGTAGTTGCAGCCTAATGATTTTCCATAGAGAAGTATCAACAACGTACAGATGAAATTCAATGATTTACACCAAAGAAAGAAAAGATGGGTAAGAAGAGGTACTCTACTTTGTACATATCACTGAATACTTGACAAATGGGAAGCAAACAGTGAAATTAGATAACCAAATCAATGGGTGCGAAGAGGTTTTGTACGGCGTACCCCAAGGTAGCGTTCTTGGTCCTGCGATTTTGCTTGTATATATATATAAATGACGATAAACAGATCAAGAATGCTAATATCTTCTCTTATGCAGATAACACGGCCATTGCATTCAATGATAATTCTTGAAATGCTCTGAAGTCTAGTGCGAAACGAAGATTGGTGCGTGTGAGCAGATGGTTAAGAAACAATTATTTTACGTTAAATACTAATAACATAAACGACATCTGTTTTAGTACAAATAATGACACTCAGTCCAAAAATAATTTTTACATAAAGTTTCACAATTGCAAATCCACATGTGGTAGGTAACACTCGTAACTGCACATTTTGTGATAACAGTTCCACAATCACAGTATTTGGGTGTTTTTGTGGACCAGCGACTCTCTTAGTATCCAGACCTCAAACACGTTATTAAAAGAGTAAGAAAACTTAATTGGTTATAATTATTAATACAAAGATCGAACATTCAGAAAAAATTCCTTCGATCCGGTCGGATTCGAAAAGACGTCTTCTTGCATACCGTGCCAGACGCTATACCAACTAAGCCACGGAACGAACCAACGGACCTCACGAATTTTTCTATGTGCTTGCGCCGTGTCTTTGTATTTGGTTTTTCAACGACTTTTAAGTCGTACCGCCATCTATGAGAAATCTATGAAAGATTTATCACCCAGTTAGTACCTTTACAGCTACCAGTCCTGGCGAGAGATGTCGCTATTCACTGTATTAATTAAACTTTTATTGAATTGATATTCAATTATTTTTTGTGAAATTACTCCACTAGATGTTATAATTATTAATACAAAGATCGAACACTCGGTCGGATTCGAACCGACGTCTTCTTGCATACCGTGCAAACCGTGTGGATCGAAGGAATTTTTTTTGAGTGTTCGATCTTTGTATTAATAATTATAACAAACTAGTGGAGTAATTTCTCAAAAATAATTGAATATCAATTCAATAAAAATTTAATTAAACTTAATTGGACTTACAAAACTCTAAGATATGTAGTACCAGGATCAGTTGCTAGGCTGTGAGGGAGCTCGTCGCCAGGGATTTAAGGAAATATAGGTGAGTTTGGTTCAATCTGTATTGATTTATTTTATTCCTGTATAACGTGGAAGTGCTAAAACTCGTTCTCTTGAGTTGGAACGTGCGCAATGCAAATTGGTTAAAACAATGTATTTTAAAAAAGAAGGTTTTCCACTAGCAGCTTTTATGAAGTCCAACTCTACATCAGTCAATCTGTACTCAGACAACATAGATCTCGAAAATATGATCTAAATATTCCGAAAAGGAGAAGAAAAGACATTGCGGTATAAGTACCTAAAGTAAATACAACAATTGCAAACAAACGATTCAACAAGCGATGGACCCAAGTGTACAATTTAATTTATAATGAATTAGAAATATACGCCAAAATTTATGAAGACTTCAAGAAACCTATTTCGAAATAGCTACAATCCAAATCTGACGAGGAAACCGAAGATCAACTGGAACACTTGCTTTAAAAACACTAATTTCTTTGTCTATGACAACAAGTTAAAAACACACACACAAACACACACGCGCGCTTGACACACACACTGCCACACACGTACGCGCCGACACGCACGCGCGCACACACACACAAACACGTTTTAAGATTCAATTTAAATTTAAAATTAGAGCTTAAGAATTGTTTGTTTTGAGATATTTTGGAAACGCAAAAATTAAACACGAAAATTGTGAAGTGCATTTATAGCTTTGGTACAATCCACTGTTCATGTAAAATTAATTATATTACTGAAATAAAGATTTATTGTCATTATTATAAGTAAAACTCTAGCCAATAGCAAGAGCACATTGTCCGATTTGTTTACCTCTGAAGTGACGCGCTCTAAGTGAACAAGTAATGTGTGTGCGCGAATATGGTTTTTTAATAACATTTAAACATAGTTTTAGAGTCTTCAATAGCTTAATTTAAATAAAATAATGTTTTTCTTCGCTGCGTATATGCTTCAACAGAAAAACTTTCTGAAAAGTTATCCGAATCCATATTGCAATGAATTCGTCGAGTTGTTTGTGACTCACCATGTCTATATTGAATGTCTACGTCAATAGGCACAGACTTGCCCGGCACATAATGCCGTTTGGTCAAAGCAATCTGCTTGGTTTCTTCATTAGGGAAGACGAATTCCAATTCAGCCCATTGATTGACCACCCTTAGATTGCTTTCAGCGCAGAGTCCTGGCCAGCAGTACGCCAGGCAGAAGGTAAAGAAGAAAAATCTCTGGAATTCGTAAGACATCACTGCTTGAAATCTGTTGAGGAAAAAAACAAATTTTGCTGTCAATCCTGTTTATAAACAGTTTCTAAAATTTGTTTTATTTTTAAAATATCGACCTGAGATTAATAAATATCAAACACAATTGAGTAATATTTACGAGTAAGAAATGTAAAAGGATCAAAATATGTAGTTGTTTTTTATTTTAATTAATATGTGCCAAAAGTAGCCTTTTCTCATTATTTAAAAAAATATTAACTATATTACAATATTTGGAAAATATAATATCAAAAACACAACATTGTATTTTTTCCGTGGAATTTGTTTCCTATTCACGTATTAGCGTAATAAATTAAAATTGTTGCCTGTTTATAAACTAATTACCATATTGGTTCAGAAGTGTAGCACAGGTTTCGTCAGGTATCATCTTGAGAATAAACTATGTTCGTCACTTAACAAGGACTATAAAATATTTTTTTATAATACCATAAAAATCCAAACATATTCAATTTTTTTTAGGAAAAGCCACTTTATTTCTTTTATTTTTTAAGTTGATTTCCTTCTATATTTATTGTCTTCGTATATTTCTTTATATACTTTCTTTATTTTTATTTCTTTATTATTTTAAGTCGTTACACGCGCCATTGATCATAGAATTAAAGCGGTCGCTCGGTGTTTCAAAAATCACATCAACTATTAGAAATGTTTATTGTTGTGTTTGTGGTAGTTTGGACAGAGTTAATAATATAGGGTGACTGCAGTGGAGGTGAAATAAAAACGAGAAAATATATGGATAATAGTTATATTAAACTTCCACAATACATTTCTTAACTAAAAGAATTAAAAGTATGTCCGAAGTAAGGAGCGTCGTTGGGCCGAAAAGTGCTTTTGTGACCTTAACTAAAGGAATTTAGTCTACGTCTGATGTTAGGAATATGGAAATTGTGAAGACGTAAACGTCTTCAAACTCATTAAAAGTAGAAAAGTAGAAAGCAAACTCATTAAAAGTAATGCAAATAAAATCAGATAAGTTCTTAAGAACTGTACAAATAGAACAGGGTATAAAATTAATCGAAATTTTAATTGAAATTTTCCTGAGAAAAGATGAAAAATATTTGATTTATGTGCGAACAAATTTTAAGGAAATTCATCAGGTACTTACACACAGAAAACGTTTAGAGGAAAGCAAGTGGGAGCGGTCGATCCTCATATTGACATAACAATGGATAGTTTAACGCCACTATGGACAAAAGCTAAGGCGATAGATGAGGCTAGGCTTAATGACATCAGGTTAAATTTAATACCAAACGAAGTCCGGCCGCTTTATGAAAATGTGAAAGGTGACTTGAAGGCATTCGATGACTGTGATGGTTTTGGAAAGACACTGGATTTCGGTAAAGAATCAGATGAATATTAGAATAAGTTTGAAACTTCAAAGCATAATTTAAGTGTCATAATTTGGATTTTGTTCTCAGATCTGTGAGTTACCTGCGCACACTTGGGGATAAGTATACTAATACAATAAGCCTATTATTTACCGTAGGTTATAACCCTAGCATAGGCTTATACGTGTACTTTTATTTTTAGATGATTAGTAACGTTTTATATTTTGACAAATTTAGTTTTCTTGCATCCATCGTTCCTTAGCGAGTTTGCGACAACCAACAACGGTCTATATACTACACTGAAATTCCCTTATTACACAGAAGCATTTCAAAAAGTATCTTTCTGAAAAAAATGTTCGCAGTTTATAAATTTGTTTCGATCGCTTTTTTTTAAATATCCGCTCATTGTTTTGTGTTGTGGTTGAAATTATATAATTACTTTAACAATATCCTATTAAAAAAATTTAATTAATAAAGCATAGAACATGAATTTAAAAAGTGTCAAAAAAACATCTACATTTTTTTCATGAACATCTCTTCTTCTTCGAGATTTAAATAAATAAATAAGTCAAGTTTTTTTCATAAAATAATTCCTGAAGCAACTAGTCTTCGATTTATAGAGGAAAAATAGAATGAAAAATAATTTTAAAATATATTTTAATGCACCTGAATATTGTCAAAAAATTACATTTTTCGTGAAAAACCATCACCATGGAACCTGTAAAGGGCCCGAGACGTCGGTTTGTTTGAAAAAAAACAAATATACGCGATTTAAATCCGGAAAAATAGTTTCATTTCCAAAGCTAGAGTAAGTTTACAATTTTTATCACTGTAGAAAATGATGAAGTTATGTTACAATGGAGTGTTTTTTTAGTTCAAAATATAGGAAAATTATCTAAGATGCCTTAAAATTGTTGAAAATATTTATTTAATTAAAATAGGACAATTAATATACACTTTTTGCACATTTAGGATCATTTTTGCAAAACGAAAAAAACTTAAAAAAGTTGTTTTTGCCATACAAAATTAAAATGATTCAAGTCCTTAATCAAAAAAAAATCTACCTTAATTATTAATCTACGGTACGTTTAGTAATTGATATGAAACTATGTACTGAAAACTTTAATTTGACGAAAAAAATTATCGGTTGAGAATGTCGAAATAGTTTTACTATGCACATCGTAAAAGTTAATAAAATGTTAGGCTGGCCAATTATGTCATGATTTGAATTTGAAAATGATGTTATGTTCTCGTACGAACAATAAAACAAATTGTATTCGTCCTTATCTCGTGTCACTGTATGTAAACAGATGTTTTCATTTTTGTCGCGTCAAAAAATGTAAACACACCGAAATTTACAGTACCTAATTATTATTTATCCTTGTTTCTCTCTTCATGTGTAGCATTCTGCTCCAACAGAAAATTCTAGCAGCAGTTCAAATTTTGAAAACTTCAACTTCCATTTTCTTGAAAGTTACTAATTGTGACTTGGATCTTTTTATTATAACTACGTCCTATTTTGGAAATTAACTTTGTAGAGGAGGTTCTTTTCTTACTTGATGACGTTACCAAATTGAGTAAAAAAAAAGACCTCCAGTTCAGTTTCAAGTGTTATTCATAAAAAGTATATCATCAAGTGCCAAGTTAATTGTAACCGGCGGGAGCGGTACTACACGTACAAATGCATAAAAGTCACTATCAAATAGGTGTCCAGACAGTCGTTCCCACGAGGACTCAACTCCTAGTGTCGTATTCCAAAACTCTACTCAACGCTCAAGTCAGGACTTGAGAATGATTTCAAGCACTGGAAATACGACCCTAATGGCAAGGACTTGAGTATCATTTCTAGTGCTTTTATTCATGCTCAAGTCCTGATTTGAGCATTGAGTAGAGTTCTGGAATACGACCCCTAGAAATGTATCAATAGTTTTGATGTATCTCACGCATAAATAAAATTCGGTTCAAGTAGTGACCAATTCGAGGGAAAATCTTAAGACAGCGATCGTTGTTGGTAAGTCGATGACCGCGATGCAGAAATTAAGTAAAAGGGTCAATGCCAACTAGCGGATTTTTAAAGAACTACAAAAAACAAACAAAACTGATTAGTACACAGAAAAGAAGGATTTGTACTAAAAAAATTTCTCAAAATATTTGCTAATTCTGAAAAAATGTTTATAAAGTAATAAAATATTGTCATTACAAAAATACTGCTTATATCTTATTCTAATACAATTTTACTCTTAACTTTATTCTAACTTTGAGACAAATACGTTCACTTCAAGATTTTATTTCATTTCTAATCAATTAATTGGACATTACTTACATCGAGAAATTTTTACCTCTTACATCAAATTTAAATAATCTTAAATGAATTCAAAATTTCTTGGGTGTGTTTTAAGAAAATATATTCTTAAACAAAAAAGAAGTAGTTTTCTATTCAGATCAATATTCTAAATTCTAGAGTATATTCTCAAAGCAACATTTCGTTGCGTTTTCATAGTCAATGTTGTGACATGTTGCCGAAGGCGCACGCGGTAACGATTACTTTAACTTGTGCTTGTAATAATAAAAATTATAAACAGTCATTTATCCAAAGAAACAATACGTAGTATCTCTAGTTTGTTAGGATTTTATTTATAGTCATAATTTAAGAAATTTGGTTACAGCATGAAATCAAACTACACTTGTGTAACAAGCACAACTTTAACATGCAATTAGTTCCATCACGCCACTGCTATTTGGGAAGATTCCGTCTTATTTCTTTCTGCTACTTTTAAGGTTTCGCACTGAACTGTGTGCTTTCACGCCATCGCCAGTGAGACATACTATTGGGTCCATAACCCTGTAAATTTACCCTTTTTGATATTAGAAAACATAAATCTTCAGTCAAATAATTAAGTACCTCTCAATTCTTCATTCTTTTTTTTAAAAATCAAACTCGGATATTTCTACTAACAAATAAATATTTTGTTGAATCTAGAGTGGCTTTGTGACTTGTAGTAAATTAATTTGCTCTTGGACTAAATATTCCTGTCTTATAACTAAAATACACTTTTGAGACGTTTTTTTACTATTATCAAGTAATTATTCTCTAGCGTCTTTATGGAGAGGATCGTTTTGTTGGATTTAATAAATTTGTCTTCATATAATGAATTTTGTCTTTTTCTAAGTAATCTGTTTTTACCGCGTAGTCTTTGCTATAAAATAGGTTTGTTACAACTTTTCTAAATTGTTTCTGATCTGAGTATTCTGAGTGCCTAGTGCCCCGGAGTGAATGCCGCTGCTTTGGTACTCATTATACGGCAAATTCACTAGTTTGAGACTATGTAATTGGTGTGGTTGTCAAAAAACTTTAGCAGTAGTATTTAGAAGGTTGAATTATGATAAAAACGTTCTTATGAACCTCAGACCACATATTATATCGAAATCAAAAAACGATCGAAGCCATTCTTTTTTCACATTAAACATTCTGGTATACGTGGCCAGTGAGTGGTAGTTCCTATTAAGAACACTATGAACTCTAAATATGTCCTTGAGTGTAACTCAGACAGTCATCATCGTTGGAAAAATGTGCTTGCCCATTAAAATATCATGCAATGCACAAGTAAAATGATAAAACAAACGAAAGCAACAATAAATCACTCTTGTATGTTGCTGGTCAGCGAAGGGGGTGCGTAGAAAATTGAGACGCAGACTTCGTGGGTAAGGCGTGTATTATACAAAGGATAAAGACAAAAAGTTTAAGCGGGTAGGGAAACAGTGAGTCAGTCAGTGAGATATCACTGACGCGAAAGCACAAGGTTTATCTATTTTGCACGATTTAACTTCTACTCTGGGTTCGTGATTAACACATTTGTACCTCCCGCAACTGGAAATGGGTCTCCTCTCAGGTGAAGATTTGGGCCATAGTCCGCTACACTGGCCCAGTGCGGTCGTGAACCTTCTTCGACATGCAGGTTTCATCACGACGTTTCATCGAAAAGCTCAAAGTAAATTTCAAATTTAATTTAGAAAGAAAACTGTTTATTACACAAGCACAGACACGCATATAGACAAAACAGATAAATTCTTACATAAATTCCGAATAATTCAGAGGCCGGACCTCTGACATTCGAAACTACGGCCTCTGTTTAAGAACCACTGGATTTGCGAAGTAGCAAATTAATTTATTTCCATTTTTATTGAAATTGATAAATATCTATGAAAAATATAAGACTGAATTATGGGGATTTGTCCGCGAAGACCCAATTTCATCCATTTTTAACCGACTTCAAAAAAAGGAGGAGGTTCTCAATTACACTGTTTGTTTTTTTGTACGTATGTTACGCGATAACTCCGGTGTTTGTGAACCGATTTTCATGATTCTTTTTTTGTTGGAAAAAGGGTACCTCCATAGTGGTCCCATTTGATTTTGAAGAAAACCATCCACCTCTAAGGCCACCCTCACCACGCATGAACATTCATTTTTACAAATAGCGCCTAAATTTTAATATTTTAATGGTTGGATTTGCTATTTAGGAATTTTATTCCTTTGTTCCGTTTCTAAAATAAACATAACGTTATGTTGTACAATATGCCTACACGTCTTTCACGTATAGGTAAATAGTGAGAACTATTTGCTCATTTGGTGCTACATTGATGTAATTATAATTTTGGCACAATTGAATACATATTTGCCAATATGACAATTACGTCACCGTAGCATTTCTTATAAAATTGTTGTATTCATTTCTTATATTAAGTCAGTTGTTTTAAAATAGTAGTAAACACGGTACTTAAAACAATGCAAACGACTTCACAGTGAATTTAAAACTCACGTCGAGAAAATGTACGAAAATCAATAAGTTTAAGTTAATATCTTAAAAAAGCTGAAACATAGAATAAATAAGAAAGCTGTCACAAGCACATATAGGGCGTACGTATGCAGAATCCATATTGCGTCACGGTTTTATTGTATGGGGTAATAATACACTAGGGTTAGCACGACAGGGCGTGACTTGCGCGAGAGCGACATAAGGCTGTATGAAATAGCATTCTGGGCTGATGGGCTTCAAAGGATGTCTTGTATAACCTACAACTTATGAGCACTTCAAAAAACAATTGCTAGGAGACACTTATTTCTGACAGAAACAAACGAAAGATTGATTATTTTGGACGAGCGTATTATTCATAACACCTATGGAAAACATAGTTAAAAATTTAGAAACCAAACGTACAAATAAAAAGGAAATGAAAAGATTTGAGCCAACAAGAAAACAAAAACTGTTTGAATTGTTTGGGTTCTTCGACGTGACAGAATAATTGCAGTGAATCTCTTAGAAGCCACGTAAACGGTATTACTTAAGGTGGTCAATAGCAAGACAGAAAGAGCATGGAGAGAAATTGCTCTCATAAGAAAGTTTAATGCATCGGTCATTGACGAACAACAAAAACAAAATTCTTCTTGAGGTTAGTAATATGTTGGGCGCACTATAAGTTTCCGGAATGAACAAGAAAAAAATACCATAAATGGTCAGAAATGAATATACTGTTACTCAAAATATTCTCCGTTAGCGCTAATGCACTTTTTCATAGGAATGAACCAATTTTGAAAACATTTATGCCTTGCCTCCGTGCCAATCTCTGAAACATATTTGTCATACTCTTCGATAGCCTCTTCAGGTGATGAAAATGGTTGACCGCGTAACTGGTTCTTAATTTTTGGAAATAAATAAAAGTCACAAGGTGCCAGGTCGGGACTGTACGCGGGATGGCTCATAAGGTCAACGTTGTTCACCTTCAAAAAATTTTTGTCTGTCTGACCGTGTGAGAACTGTCATTATCGTGGTGCAAGATAATACGGGGTTTACGGTTATTTTTACGGAGTTTGTCAATAACTTCCAGCAAACAAATGGTTGTGCGCCAATCACTATTCACGGTACAATTCTCCAAAGCAACCACGTAAAGTAAAGTAGCCACGTTTCCAGTTTTATTAAAAAAAGAAGCAGTCATCCGCTTAAGGGCACTTTGCACGGGCATCACTATGGTTGGTTTCAGCTCATCTCGAAAGACCCATACGCTCGATTGCAGCTTTGTTTTGCGATCGTAACTATAAATACGTGTTTCGTCACCTGTTACTATGTCCCACACTAAATTTAACGCCCCTTCGTTGAATCTGGTTAGCATGGCATTGCACCAAGTGACGGGATCCGTCTTTTGAGCCTCAGTCAAATTGTGTGGGATCCACCGAGAGCACAGCTTTTTCACACCCAAATGTTTGTGTAGCATTGATTGTATTTGACTTATGCCTATGCCTAAAGATGCCCGAATCTCATGGTATGTCACATGCCTGTCTGTTTTGATCATACGACGCATAGCATCGATGTTTTTGTTAGCAGCAGACGGGCGATCATCACGAAATTCGTCACTGAGATTCACACGACCGCGTTTGAATTCTGCAAATCACCTATAAATAGTCGTCTTGCACGGTGCTTCATCGCCAAAACCAGTTTGAAGCCGAGCAAAGCTCCGCTGAGCTATTAAATTACACTTAAAGTCGTAGAAAATCATACTATTTACTAATTTTCACAAATTTTCAATTTCCGAGTTAAATCTTTGGTGATGTAGACAACCAATTTCCAAAATGATGCCACAATGTAAAAATAAGTGACAGTCAGATGAAACAAACTGTATGTTCTACAGCCAAAGAGTTCCATTTTGAAATATAATTACTTTTTAATTATTGTTTATGTAAGTTGGTCCGGAAACTTATAGTGCGCCCTATGTATATCACAGAAAAGTTGTCACAAAGTGAACATTACAGGGGATTGTCCATATGAACTGGTCACGCTATGAAGGACACTGCCACTGCGCCTGTCACGCTGTTAAAGTAAAATCTGATGAATGATTATAAGTTTTATTTATTTATTTATATTTATTATTATTTTATTATTATTTTATTATTATTATTTAGTACTGGATCCTTATTGCAAATGATAAAACTTATCAACTAAACACAATAATTTGCAAACAATTGCACAAGCATAAATACGATTATAAATATCAGAACACAAGTACTTACAATATTTCAAGTAGTATTTTCGAGCTCCAGCAAAAGAATGATGTCTCACCAAAAATGATTTAACTTTTATATCTCAACTTGAACTTTGCGAATCGCAACGTGTCAAAAACGGAACGCAATTTTCACATTTTTAATACGTTCCGGTGAAACAGAATTATTCAATTAAATTTAGTTTTAATATTCAAATAATGTTATTATTTAATTAAATAGGACTTTTAAACATTAATTCTTGTTTTATTTTACTTAAATATCAAATTCAATAAATAGAAATTCGAAATACGAAGCTTGTCGCCAGGTGTTGCATGCGGGTGTGTAATGGAAGATATAACAACCAAATAATCGATTTTCACTTTATATAACAACATTTTATATAATTTCTAAAGGTATAATCACTCACTGTATATAATCAACAAAAGTTGTAACAACAAAAGGCTAATTTCAATGTATATAATAAACCTTTAGTGTAACAAACACTAGATATAATGATTAAGTGACATAATGAACAAATGGTATACCAGTACAATGAATTAATAATAGTACATTATGATATAAGTGCGGTAATTTTCAAAGCGCACGTATGTCATACGACGTTTTATAACATATTTGCGAGGAAATAAATAAGACTCTGACTTTCTTAAACGAATAAATCTTTAAATACTTGTTAAAGCATTATAGAAATTTGAACAATTTTTAAAAATGATTGTTACGTTGCCAGTTGGTATTTTTAATGTTGTCAAGTTATTATTATTAGTTACAATCTCCCCAGTCTCTCTCTCACTCTCTTGAGTGAAAGTAGGAGAAACGAGAGCACAGAGTTCTGCAGTCGGTGGCGGCGGCGGAGGCGGTTGCGGCTGCGGCGACGATGGTGGAATGTACGCGTGTGTGCTCGTAGATGGTTGAAAGTCAACACTTGACTCCAAATTTATGTTCCTTGTAATGCGAGAGCTAATTTCTTCTTTATTTCTTATCGAGTTTTCTATGTATCCTTCGGCTACATTGCTTGACCGCCATCCTCCGTGGCGTTTTAGTGTCAATAAGTCCACACCTGAATCGGCGAGCAATGTAGCCGAGGACCTTCTGAAACTGTGCCCTGTGTATTCATGTGCTTGAGGCAAATTTAAGAAAGTGGCAATTTCTTTCGGCATTGCTCCCAATTTATTAATGCCAATGGGTTGGTTAGTGCATTTTCCATTATGGTAATTTTGAAAAAATCTGTTGGAATTAGCTTTTGTTGAACGAAGCGCTTCGTATTTCTTCACTACGTTGTAAAAAGGGGCCTTGTGAGGTAGGGGTATTGTGAACGACCTTGGAATTTTATTTTTTGTGTTTTTGACCTGGACAAGAAGAACCCGCCCATGGTTCTCGACATCATTAGTTGTTATGTTTGCCAACTCTTGACGTCTACATGCACCATTGCCAATCCGGAGCTTCTTTTAGGAACTTCTTGATATTGTCAGCCGAAAATACTTTCGACTTTTTACATTCATGGCCATTTGAGCGTCTTTTTAGAAATGCTATCAAGTTGGAGTATGACTTGATATCAATACCATGGTCTGTTTTCATAGTGCTTTTTAGCATTGAATAGTAGCACTACAATGAGCTTGACTTATATTTTTGAGAAAGTTCCATGAAATAGGCTAAAAACACATTTTCTGAAAATGAATTTGCATCTTTGCTTGTTTTCCATATGATGAAATTTAGATACGCTTGATTCTTGATTTCTATCGGTCGATTTTTCAGGTAAGAGGCTTAGAGTAGCCTTTTTGACTGCGTTTAAGACTTGTGGCGGTGTCAAATTAATAAATTCATCACTACTTAACGACATTTTCAAATAAAAAAAATACAGCGAAAAGAAAAAGCGCGCGAAATAATTTTTACTTGTCCACAAATTAGGCATGCGCGCGCATCAACGTTTTTTTTATGCAAAGGTTTAAAAATAGCCAGTATTACTAATAAAGTAAATTAATATTTTTGTGTTTTTGTTACAGATAAATGTTTGTAATTTATTGTCAAAATTAATTAAATGAAAGAATTAAATGTTTATTTACTATATTTTATCTCCCAAAGTTAATTTTATTCATAAAATATTGACCACTTTTCTAACATAAAAACTCTTTGCAAAGATTTAAAAAAGTATCATTCATTTTTAGACGGAGCATCTTAAAAA